ATAAAAAAAAAAAAAAAAAAAAAAAAAAAAAGAATATTTTTAATTATAAATTCTTTCTGAAATTTAGGTAACAAAAATAAAAAAAAAAAAAAATGTAAAAAAACAAAAAAAAGGAAATAAAAAAAAAAAAAAAAGTAAAGAAAATGAAATAAAATATAATACAATATAATAAAAATAAAAGCCAAAAATATAGAATTAAATATTTATTTCGTATTTTAAAAATTAAATATCTTTAATTTCATTTTTTATTAAGAATATTTGATTATTTTCTTTTAAAATGAAACTTTTGAAAAGCATTCTTTATAAAGTATTAAAAAAAAATGATAATTTTTTTCATTTTTCTAAATTATTATTGGCAATTAAAGATCCTTTTATCTTTTTTTTTTTGTAAGTTAAAATATTATTATGTATGTAAATTTTAATAATGTGTATATATGCTTGTTCTAATTATCTTTAGATAAAAAAATCTGAAGTTTTCATTTTTCATATAGACTTTTTATATGTTTACTATCTATAAAATCATATGTAGATTTATATTTTATTTTTATTTACTTTCTTTAAAAAATAATATTCTATAATAAAAAAAATGCATAATATGAACAATTTTAAATTTAAAATACGTATTAATAGTATTACATAATTTTTTATTTATTATATATGTGTTATTCTTTTGTTATTTTTTATTTTATAAATAATATTGATTTTTCAATTAAATAATTTACAATTGTATAATCTTCTTTCAGATGCTTATTTCTGTTTGTTCTTACAAGCTTAATAACATATATCTACTGCTTGCTTAAATCTTATAAATCCAATAAAGTATAAAAAAAAAAATATATATATATATACATATATATATATATATATATACCATATAAAAAAAAAGTATAATTTTCCTAAAAACAAAAATTAAAAAACAAATGAAAATATAATACTTTTATGTTTTCTTTTTTTTATAATAGGATATGAGAATACATAATATAAATGAAAAATCAAAATTAGAATAAAAAAAAAAAATCATCGTTTAAAAAAAATGATACTTATAAAATAACAAGAAAAAAATATATAAATAAAAGAGAAGTTACCTCAAAAAGAAATTAAATCAAATAATGAAAAGAACTTAAATGAAAATAATTTGCATAAATATTATTAGAATATAACATGCAAATGGAAAAATGTAAATTAAATTTAGTCATATATAAATGATATGAATACAAAAAAAGATTAATGAGTAAAAAGTATAAATATGCAATAAGTGATAGTTACATAATATAAATATGAAAACATGAATATATTGCTGATTATTTTGTAGAAAAAAAAAAAAAAAAAATTAAAATAAGAAAAAAGAAATATTTAAGAAAAATTAAACAATTACTAATAATATTTTTATTTCATTACAAAAATATTACACAGAATACTATTTATATTTAGATTACTATAATACAAAAAAAAAAAAAAATATTAATAAAATATAAAAAACAAATAATATTTATAAATATAACATGCATATATATATATATATATATATATATAATACTACTTAATAAGTGTTAGAATTTTTTTTTTATTATATTACTAAATTATGAATAACAAAAAATATCTTTTTTTTTTTTTTTTTTTAAATTTTAATTAATTAAAAGAAAAAAAGAATATATTTGTAATAATTTTAAACATTAGTTTCATAATTTTTTTTTTTTTTTTTTTACTATTTGAATATATCTTTTTATTTTATAGACACACTTTATATATAAAATTCTTTACTATTTATATATATATTACTATTAACATGAAAACTAAATTTAATTCTTTTGAAACCTTAAAATCTATTAAAAAGAAAATTAGATATTCATAATTTATTATTTATTATTTATTATTTATTTCTTTTCTTTGTTTTTTTGTCTTTTAATAAGAAAACTATGAGAAGTTAGTATTATATATGAATAAATTTAGTAATGAAATGTTAAAAAAAATATATTTAAAATAAAAATAAGACACATAAATAAAAAAAAAAAAATAAATGAAATATAAAACAAAAGTAAGATCTACAATAATATAAAAGTATATATAAAACAAGGAACTTTTTAATAGTTTATATTTTTACTTCATAAATTGTTTATAAATTTTTATAATTTTATCATATATGTTAATGAAGTTTGAAAAAATTAAAAAAAAAAAAAAAAAAAAAAAAAACCATAATACATAATATATAAAGAAATCTTAATAAAAATAATATATTAAACTTCTTTTATTTTATTTGTTTTATTTTATTTTTTTCTATATATTTTTTAAAGAAATACAAATAAAGCACTTGTCTTCTATGCTACTATAATAACTAATATATTTTTAATAATTTTTTAAAATTAGGAACAAAAAAAAAAAAAAAATTATAGCAGAAAGAAAAAAAAAAAAAAAATAGTTAACGTACAGCACTAAGAAAAATAAATTAATAACTTAACATCATGTTATTAAGAAAAAACAAAAAGAAAAAAATAATAAAATAAACATAGTTACCCATCTTATTTTTAGAATTCTTAAAATCTTACTCTAATAAAATTACAATATTTCAAATATTTGTTTTGTATTTTTCTTTTAAGAATCTTAGATATATATTTATTTTTCATTTAATAACTATAAATTTAAAAATATATAAAAATACATTAGTATTATGCAAAATGAGTAAAGCATCCGAAAATAATAAGAATATGGAAGATCAAAGGTGATATCAAAAAAAAAAAAAAAAAAAACATTTTTTTTTTTTTTTTTTATTGTATTACATAAGTCTAAAAAATATAAAAACAAATCATAAAAATTATATAAATATATGAGATAAAAAAAAACAAAACAAAAACAAAATATATAATAAAAAAAAAGTGGTTCCTTTAAAAATATTCATTTGTTATATTTTCGTTTTAAATATAGAACACATTTTGATGAAAAAGATAAAAAAAAATTATTTTTATATGGATACGAGCAACAATTACTATATGGTATATATAAAAAAATAAAAAGGGAAAAATAATAAAAAAAAAAAAAAAAATATATTAAAATAAAAAGAAAAGAATATTCCTTTATATATATTTAAAAATATAAAATTCAGGAAGAATAAATTGGAAATTAGCTGAAAAAAAGAAAATAACAAAATATCCGCTAAATATTATGAAAAATTTTTGGAATAATAGCATAGCTAATTGGTCTTTTTATTTTTTTAAAAATAAGAAAAATAATAAAATATAATAGAACAAAAATAAAAAATATAAAATAATAATAGTAAAATAAATACATAGTATATTAAAATATAATAGAGTATAATAAAACATAACGTAAAAAAAAAAAAAAATTAATAAATAATGTAAAATATAATAAAATATAACTTAATAAAAATATTATGTAATAATTATAATATGAATAGAATTAAATGATAATTTCAAAAATAAAAAACTTTTTTTATTTATTTTTAGTTTACCTCAATACATAGAGAATTATTCAAAAGACGTTGAAAAATTAAACGAAATGAAAAAACAAAATAAAATAAAAATAACTCCAAAAATAAAAAAAAAAAAAAAATTCATTCCATCAAAAGTTCAATTTGCAAAGCAAAGGTCAAATATTTCTATGAATAGAGTCATTAAAGGAGTAAGTTTTGATTATAAAAAATTAAATACTCATAATTTCAGAAATAAAAGAAATGTAAATTCTATTTTAAAAAAAAAAACTCTTAAGACTATTGATAAAAAAAAAAAATATGCAGAATTAAAAAATAAAAATGTTAATATAAATAAACTTAAAAAAAAAAAAAATGAGATAAATAAAAAAAAAGATAATATAAATAAAATCAAAGAAGCTAATAAGGCTGAAAAAATTAAAAAAGACGAAAAATCTAAAAAAAATGGGAAAATTAATAAAAATGAAAAGGAAAAAAATAAATTAAAGAAAGATAAAAATGAAAAAGTTATTAAAAATGAAAAGATCAAAAAAGACAACAAAAAAGATAAAATAAAAAATGATAAAGTTGTGTTAAAGAAAGTTGGGAAAAATGAAAAGGATAAAAAAGATGAAAAAAGTGATAAAATAAAAAAAGATAATGAAAAAAAAAAAGAAAAGGAGAAAAATGAAGATAAGGATAAAAAAGAAAAATTAAAAAAAGATGAAAAAGATAAAAAAGATAAATCTAAGAAAGAGGATAAAAAGGAGGATAAAAAAGAAAAAAAAAAAGATGAGAAAAAAGATGAGAAAAAAATTAAAAAAAATATAATAAAACATCAGAAAAGTAGAAAATAAAAAAAAAAAAAAATAAATAAATAAATAAATAAATAATTTGAATGTTAAACAAGTATTCAATTTGAGAATAAATCTAAATCATTTGAAAAAGAAAAAAAAAAATAATAATAATAATATAAGTAATAAAAATAATACATATTAATTAAAAATGAATACAATTATTTAAATCATAAATTTAATCAAATTTTTTCATATATTTTTTTTTAATTAAAAATTATCGGTCAAATAATTGCACCGATTTTTTTTATTTTTTTTTTTTTTAGCACTATTTTTGATTTTTCACTTTTAATTTTTTTAATTATTCAAAAGCAAATTGTTTTTCAAAGAATAAAATAAAAAAATGTGTATGTATAATAATTTATATCAAAATATTTATAAGAATATTTTAAAAAAAAAAAAAAAAAAAAAAAAAATTAAAACTCAAATTTTTTATTTAAAATTTACGAGAATATTAAAAACAAAAAATGCTTATTTAAAGTATATTAAAAATTAAAAAAAATTCATAATTATATTAAAAAAAAAATTATATAATAAAACAAATTTTTTTAAAATAATCTAAAAAAAAATTAATTCTAATTCATATAAACTTATAAAAATGATTCGTATTCTTAATTTTAAAAATAGACAAGAAAAAAAAAAAATTTATAAAATTTTTATTTAATTTCATTGTTTTTTTTTTTTTTTTCTATATTTAGATATTAATTTTAGAACAATATCGTAAACATATCTAATTGTTATAATATAACAACGGATAATTTTTTTTTTTAAAGTAGGATGAAGAGATAAATTTAATATTTTTATAACTCTTAGATAATTTAAATCTATTTTCCTTTTATTCTTTAAATAAATTTTAAAAACATAGAGACATAAAGAAATTATGTGGTCTATTTTGAAATCAAACATAAATGCATACATATTACTTTTATTATAATTTTTTTTTTGTTCTATTATTTCTTCTTTCTTCATATTATTTGTATCAATAAATGAATTCAGTTCTTCTAATTCCTTGTTAAATAAAATTTTCATTTTTTCTATTCCTTGATATTTGAGATAAAAAGACCAAAACAAAAAAGAAAGAAAAAATTTATGAAAAATATAAATATAATTATAAATATCTTCATCTAGATTGTTATTAAGATAAACTGGATCCTCAAAATAATAGAAATTGTTGTTTTTAAAAGTTAAATGATTAGGTTTTTTAGGTAAAGGAATAATAAATGAAATTGCTTTGTTATTATTTAAATTAATGTTATTTTTAAATATGTTATAGAATATTTTATAATTTGTTAAACTCTTGTTAAAATGATACGAATTTTCATTTGTCTCAATTGTAGTGATATTTTTTGAGTCAATAAATTTACTACCAAAATTTTTTTCTAAATTTTGTGTAAATAATTTTGATATACTTTTTATATTACTTGTAACTAAACTAATTTCATGTATTTTTTTTATGAAATTCAAAATATAACTATTATAAACATAATTTTTATTATTACAACATTTTAATAACTTATTTTCATATAATTCTCCCATTTTTTTTAAAAGGGCAAATTTTTTTCCTTGATGAATTAAAGAGATTACTAAAAAATAATAGTCTAAAAATTCACTTTGTCTTCTGATATCTACGATATTTCTTTTTATATAATTCACTTTTTTTATATCATTTTCATTATCTTTTAATGATTTACTATCACGTATAAAATTTCTATTCCTACTTGATAAAAAACCATTAAGAGGACTATAATAATTGCTACAACATTTGAAAAAAAAACTATTAACTCTTGAAAAATTTCTTAACAAAGATATATTCGATATTGATATTCTTGATTTTAGAGGAAATAATATATCTAGTTTTTTATTAATTCTTAATTTATTATTTTTTGATATAATGTCTTTAGCTTCTACTTCAATTTCTTTTATTATTCCTTCATATTCTTTACTGTAATTATCAAAACTGAATAAAAAAAGAATTATTTTATTTTTATTTTTTTTTTTTTTATTTATATTCCTTAAAAACTTTATTATATAATATATTAAAAATATTATGTTTTTAAAATTATATATATTAATTTTATGTTATGAAATATATAGATTTATATAGAGAGAATTATTTTATTTTTTTTTATTTTATTTTTTTTTTTTTAATTTTTCATACTTTTTATTTATTATTCTCCATATATTTTTAAATGTATTAACTGAATATCGTCTGCTAAATTGTTTTTTATTTAATTCTTTCCATTTTACATAACCTTTAAGAATAAAATGTAATTTGAAATACGTAAATAAAAGTAAAGATATTATATTTTTTTTCTTCTTTTTTTATATAACCATATATCAATTTATCTTTATAGCATTTTTTTATTAAATTAATTATATCTTCATTAGTTAATGATCTATAAAATAAAAAAAAATCATTAAAAAAAATATTACAGAAATTTTCTAATACCTTTAATTAAATTAAAAATAATTCAGAAAAAAAAAAAAAAATGAAAAATTACTCTAAGAGATTTTTATTCTTCTTTTTCAAGTTGCTCATTCTCAAAAATATATACATAAAAAAAAAAATTGATAAGTTAAACAAATAAAAATATAATAATAATAATAATAATCTTATTTCTCTATTATAATTTAAAACATCATTTTAATTATGCACTTATAGAATCGAATGAATATGTGTTTTATGTTTGACTATTGCATACATTTATTCTTTAGTAGGTAATAATTAAAATAATACAAATTGTAATAATATGGTACAATATTATTTATAGATATAACCAACAAAAATAAAGTGATACATGAATAAAATTATGATTGCATACTATTAAAGCATAATAAAGTGAAATACGAATACATAAAAAATAAAAAAAAAAGGTAAAATAAGAAAAAAAAAAAATTAAAAAAAAAAAAAAAAAAATCAACGTAAAAATAATTAGTATATAAAATACAGAAATTGACTATTTATTATAAAAATAAAAGTAAAATATTATTACAGCATTTAATACTAAATTTATACCTCTACTATTTAAATAGTTTTATTATTTTATAACATTAGCTTTTCGGATTTTATATATCGATTTTTTTATATTATTTTATGGATTTATTAATTATATCTACAATTATATTTATAAATCTTAAAAAAAAAAAATAATTTTATAAGTGTCATTATCTAAATGTATATGTATTTTATCTTCATGCATTTAATCTTTTGTATTTTTCATTCTACACCCTTTTTTCATTTTCATCATTTATTCCGACAATTTTTTGACATATATCAAAATATTTTAATAATTTTAACTATTATTTTTAAAAATTTTTTTCCATTATATATTTTTGCAAAATAGTTTTATGCTACCTTATTTTGTGATTTTGTTTTTTTAATTTGTTAGCGTATGTTATTAATTAGTTTAAGTATTGTTTTACACTTTAAAAAGAAAAATAACTAAAAAAAAATACATATGTAAAAAAGACAACAATAAATTATCTACATATTTATAGAAGTGCATTTTATTTTTCTGAATGTATATCTAAAAATTAATTAATTATAATAATATTAATTAAAAATTTTTAATTATTTATTTTTATTTTTTTTTTTTTTTTTTTTTTTATTACATATTATAATAAAGAACTTTTTATTAATTTATGAGAGAAAATATCCAAAAATATATATAAATTTATATATAAAACATATATAAATAAATATATAAATATAGGTCGATAAAAAAACGAACTGTAAATATTGTGTGAAATCTCAATAAAAATAATACAGTGAGAATACATAAAAAATTTTTACTTATAAACAATAAAATTATATTTAGATTTAAAAAAAAAAAAAAAAAAAAAAAAATCTTTATATATTTTTTATGGAATACATTAATTAATTGATATTATTTCTCTATTATTTATTTAAATAATAAAAAAAAAAAAGTATAGTTATTTTCATAGTTTATATAAACATATGAGTTAATGAATTCATATATTTACGAAGTCATAGAATAATTTACCAAAAAAAAGAAAAAAAAAAACTTAGTTTATATAAAAATTTTTATGAAATAGACATTAATTTTAATAATCTCAATTTAAAAAAAAATAAAAAGAATATTCATAATACTAAAAAAATTTACAAGAATTTTTTTAATTTTTGTTAAATAGCTCAGATGATATTCATTAAAAAATATATATATATATATATAAATATATATATATAAATAAATAAAATATTATATATATAAAGCTATATCAAATTAAATTATGTTAAGAAAATAAAAGATACTAATTTATTTAAAAAATATACAAAATATTATACTATAAAATAGTTGTAAAAATAAAAATACAAAGTTATTTTTTTTTTTTTTTATATTTTATAAGAGAATACAAGTACCTTTACAAGCATACAATTTTTTATATGAGCAAAATTATTTCAAAATATAAAGGAAAAAGTTCTAATATATATATATATATATATTAAATTAAAAAAAAAAAAAATAAAAATAAGAAAATTTTCTTTTTTCTTTTTTTTTTCTTTCATTGATGTATTTTAAATTTCTTCATATTTAAACATTTTTCTTTATTGTGTGTATAATTTTTATATATTATAATTTTTAATTGATATCAGTATTTGAATTGTAATTGTTAAATGTATATATTTATTAAAAATAATAAATATACTTTATTGAATTTTCCCATTTTAAATTTTAAATGATATTCATAGAATATTAAATATTTATGTATATTTTTAAATATATATTAAATTAATCCAAATATATTTTTTTAATTTTTCCGGATACAATATTATAAATATTTTTGTAGTAAAAAAATTATGTCCTTTATCATATTGTTCATATAAAATCTTAACAGTTAATCAAAAAAAAAAAAAAAAAAAAAAAAAAAAAT